TGGTGGAGGAGGGGCCCTCATGTGATGACAATCATGGTAGGGAGGAAGTGTGTAAGCTGAGAAAGCTGGGAGTTGCGCAGAGCTGATAACACAGCAAACATGGTAAATGAGACTTATGGGTATAGCTGACGGATAGAGTGGCTCGGTAGCAAATACAAAAGAATAAACCTATGTTTTGTGGGGAGAAAGATGCAGTACTCAAATGTTAATTCGGAACAAAACTGTAATTGTTGGGGTGGGTTTTGATGGTTTGGTATTTGTTTTGGAGTTGTTTTTTTAGCTAGACAATATGAACAGAACTTTTGAGTGTAATTAAAAGTGTATGATTTAATTTTTCTGGTATGACTGTAATAACTACTTTGGGTTTATTGCTGCAAAGCTGTGTAGAACTCCAGTATAGGTGGTTCACTTATTATCAGTCATCTGTGGAACTGCAGCCCCAAAGCTGTGAAGGGTTAAAATTCAAACTGTAGGAGTGATTTAATTTTTTTAGTCTTTTTTTTTGACTCAAAAAGGAAACTGTGGTGCCGTTGTGTTTGGATGTTGCTACCTAAAGGACCAGCAACTGATGGTAAATGACAAGGAAAGAAAGGAGTGTTGCCATCAAAAATAGTGTGATGAGGGAGTCAACAGAAATTCACAGTTTCCTCACAGGGTTACCACTTAGCTTGAATTCAAGGAGGAAATTCCTTGCAGAAATATGCACAAGGCAGGCTTTTGTACTGGGATATAATCTAACATAGAGTTTGCATTTGCAAGCATTAGCTTATGACTTTCCCAACTGAAACTTCAGAGCTTATACTTAAGAAAGGTGGAGCTGGAAGCCCAATTTGACTATTCTGAGGCATGTTTTTATCACAAAGGTAACAGGACAGGCATCTACATTTCAAATAGACATATTGGAGTGGACATCATGCTGGTGTTCTAATTACCAGCCATGGCAATATTAAGTAGCACTATGTAAAGCCTACTTGTATGGTCAAAAGCCAGAACAGCATACTTTGAGAAAATGTGGCAACCTGCAAATGAAGTTTCATTGACCCGTGAAGGTTTAAGAAATTAAAATCTCAATTTTTAAATCGTATAGGAGCTACAGTAATTCCCACAAAATTTTATCTGTAGTTTAAAATTATGTAAGTATTGTCAGCTAAAGATGTAGTAGTCACTGTGAACTGTAAATTATTATCACTTCAGAGAAGGGGAATGAAGTGCAGAGAAGTGAAACAATGTTTTTATGTCCTACAGCTTGTCTGTCAGTAGAAACCAAAGAACCATTGCGTTCTATTTTTTTACAATTATTTTAACCACCTGTTTCCTTTCTGCTTTTTGAATTGCTCATGACCTTTAAAGTTCCCAAAATATCAAGCCCAAGCCCTGCAAGTTTAATATTTTTTGGGTTTGAGCAGTTGATGGTATTGACTGGGGTCTTAGATCAGGCAGATGACTGCTTTTGAATACTGGATTTAAGTTGCTGCTTCTACTAGTGCTTTTTAATGCATTAGGTTTTGAGGCTGACACTGTACAAATCACCAGACTAATTAAGAGAAAAAGGAAAACCCCTAGGATTTCATCTCAAAGTAATGATAAATAAAAGTTTCTGGTTCTCAAAAAGGCTTGCTAGGGAAATGAAGCACTTAGGATGCAACATGTGACTCTCTTTTTAGTAACTCTTAAACCTACAGGCTAAAATATACTTTGAATTTATTTGAAAATCAGTAGCAGAGACATCAACATCTCTTCAATGGAAAAAGCAGGGACAATTCAGCTGGTCTGCTAGTGTTCATCAGCTGGGTTTTTTCCTGTGTTCTCTCTAAAATTATTATTTTAATTTTTCTATGAAAAAGAACAATAGCCAAAAGCAAAAGACTAAAGGAATATAGTAAATTTAGGAGAGTATTCACTCATATCTCTCTGAATGCTCAGTCAGCCTTCAGGAGTTTGCAATCCAATGACTTCCTGTGCCAGAAGTAATTTCTGTGCATTAATAGCCCTCTATGGATTTCTCTGTCATGAATCCGCCCCCATGGGCACATCTGCAGGAAGGCAAGCTCCATTAGTTCTACCATTCTCAGGAGAGTCAATCTTTAGTTTTCTGTCATCATTGTTGCTATGTCAAAGGTTGATTCTAGATAGTATAATAAAACATTTTTTACTTTAAGAAAACAAAAGCAAAAGCCAACCACTGTGCATCTTCCCTTTTAAGGGTGACATCAGTAGCCCTTTCTTCCTAACAATAATGAACTTGACATTTTTTCTGGGAGTGTTCCTTTATTCAAGTGGCTTTGATTTGCATGAATATTCAGTGGTCCCCATTGGGCTGGCTTCAACATGTGCGTGGGCCTAATGGTTAATGTTATCGGGGTGTTTGATAAAAAGATTTAACAAAGAAATGCTTAGAGACTTATTGATGAAGGGGCTTGGAGACCTCAGCAAACATACCAAGTGCCTCAGTACCAGAAACAGAAAACAGCTAGCATGCTGCAAGCTTAGGGCTTGCTCTTTGCTATAGGATAATGGTTGTGTGGTACTTCTGACAGCAGTGCAGGTCACTGTGCCATTGAGGACAAGTACTATGGCCTGTCGGCAGAGCCTCAAGACACATCTGTGCTTCCTGACAGTAGCATCACTACTAGGGGAAAGATAACAGTGACCCTGAGATGCTGAGTTGTTGTCGCTGCAAAGCTGGCATGAGTGCTCACAACTACTCAGCCTCTTGTTTCTAAACCAGGCAGAACAGAAGTGGTGCAAAGATGTGAAATTAAACATTTAATGTCTTGGTTACTGCTGCTTACTTCTCACGTGATGTCTTTTGCAGGCTCTTTGTTTCCCTTTTCTGGATGAAGGTTTTTCCATTTATTTGGGCCAATTGTGCTGCAGGTTCTTGCAATCCTCTCTGGTTTTTAAGTGTTTCTGGTTTTAAAAACTTGATGGTGATATTGCCAACTGCTGAGCTTGTATCAGCAGGACACCAGGCAGGAGAATGGACAACATGCTGCATGTTTGAGTTTTTCAGGTGTCTCTCATCCCATTGATAATACATTTATCTAAGAACTGGACTGTTGCTGTTCCAGCAGGTATATATGTGTTCAAGACTAACTAAGAAGCTAGTAAGACTGCAGAGATCACAATTTACAGAAGGAAATTTTGAGGAAAGCATCAAGCTTTTTTTTCAAATGTAACTATTTGTTTCTGGAGGGGGAAAAAATAGGTCATCTGTGTAATTTTCCAGTGTCTCTCTTGCCATTTGACTTACTTTGGGAAGTTATTTTATGTTCATGTACACATGTCATTCCTGTCTAGGCCACTGTCTGTAGAGTTTCTTACACTTTCTTATACCTCTTAAACTAAAGGTCAAGTGTTGTCAGCCTGTACCCCATGCAACCTGACAAACCTCTATGCAGACACCAGACCTAGAAGAAAAACTGTGAGTGGGGGAATTACACACAACTGTTCAAAACAAATCCTTCTGGTGGCTTCTTGAGGCAACCTTTTCTCTCTCTCTTTTTTTTTTTTTTTTTTTTTCCTCTAGTGGTAGTTGCATGATGAAGAAGGGAAGAAGGGCTTGGTTCTTTTATGTCACTAAGACTATATACAAATTTTTTTTTTTGGAGTTGCCTCACATTACAGCAACAATTCACAGAAGGAAGGAAAATGCAATACAACATGTATAGTCCTTGGCCCTTCTCAGAGCACAGGCTTTCTGCTCTGTCTCATAATTTAGAATTAATAGATTATGATGTGACTCTGAGGTTTTAAGGTGTTTCAGTTATGAGTAAATCAAGCTATTTCTGAGAATGCACTATCAAGCAGTGTTTATTGCTTAGGAAAATGTGTTGATTGTTGAGCTGTTCCTTGGTCTTAGTGTGAGAATTAGTGGCTCTAGAGAAAAGAATAATGATCCTTGTAGTTAAGCTGCTGCTTGGGACCCTGGAAACAGTTTTATAATTCACAGCCTTCTATAATATATAAATTATGTAGAGCACATTACATCAGTAAAATGGGACAAAGCTTCTTTGCTTTGCAGGCTCCACGTGCCAGTTTGTTTGGTGGATGTATAAACTACAACTTTTTTGACAAAACAAAAAACTGATAAAATCTGAGTGTTATTTCTTTTATTATCTGCAGTGAAAGGTTTATCAGTAGTCTTTAATATTAGGATAGGGACAATATTATTTAGTATCTGCATCAGATACTAATCTGATGAGATGTATCTTTTCAGAGATGATGAATTTTATGTATTCTTGGTTACACTTTGCATTCAAAGATAATCATCTGTCAAGTGAAGTGTGAAATGTTTAGTGTCCATGCTGTGAATAGTGTTTGGTAATTAATTTTGTTGGCATGGGAAGGTATAGTTAGATGTGGGTACTGTTACACACTTTGGCTAGTGACTTCTAAGTCTTTCCAAGGACAATTGAACAGCATTGGGCATCATGTTAATCTGATGTGTTAATTCACATTTGTAGTCCCAAGTGTGGGGATATATTGGCCAACCTGAGTAGTCTCGGTCTCCTATAACACACCAGATACATTCCTCCCCAAACCAGGGGGGTCCCCTGCAAGGGATCTCTATCATTTATATGTGTATGTATACTTGCTGCTCTGGGACTTTGGCCATTGGAACATCCCATCTGGAAACATTTCATTTTCCTAATGAATATGTCATAAGGCAGTCTTAATTACTGTCTGTCTAGGCCTTCTCTAGTTAGATCTTACCCTCCAATCTCTTCCACATTTATCTATATAATCTACCATGTGCATGTGCAACTTTCTTTTATTGCTGTAGATGCCCTTTTCTTAGAAGCAATATGTTGGCTTTTGGCTTTTCTGACCTTGCAGCCCTTTGGTCTCTAAGGTACAAGATATCCTCTACTAAAAAGGAAACAGCAGAATCAGAAGTGGTTGTAGTTTGGGGTTTTACCAGCCAGAGGTGGAAATGCCAGTCACATGAACTTGCCTTAAAAGGATCTGTGGGATCTCATGTTATTGTCTCTTTGCAGGGTATCATCCAAGCGTACAAGAGTGGCATAACCCTCCAGGGAAACACCACTAGCCTGGGCAGGTGGGACTACAGTGGGTCTTTCTTCTTCTCCATCTCTGCAATAACAACCATTGGTAAGAGTTCCCTGCTTACAGGGCCACCTCAGAGGTGGGAAAAGAGTGGGAATGAGGATTTGTACTCAGATGCTCCTTCAGCCCCATTTGGTTCCCTGGAGCTTGCAGTAGACAGGTAGGGAAGCGCCCATGAACCCAGCCTAGGAGTGCTTTTTCAGTGCCTGTGCAGTAAAGATGTCTAACTGATCAGACACAGGGATAATTAGTTCAGGACATATTCCAACTAAGTTACACGGCTTCTGGGGCCTGAACTTCGTGGTGCTGCACTGCCTGGACTTTCCCAAATTCTGTGCACTCTGAGAGGTCTGAGGTGAATTGTGCATTGAAATGGGCTTTTCCTATCACAAGAACAGGAATGATTTTGGAAAATTCTTAATACTGACTATTGCATCTTCAGAGACTATATTTATGAATTATTCCTCCTTATTACTACCTGTATTTGATAAGAACCTGGTTGTTCAAGTGAAAGTTAAATAGCTGGATAAACATTACAATTCGGTTGACTTAAGTTTCAGCAAATGGATAATGCAAAGCCATGAAGAAATTATGAAAATAAGTTGGGGAGAGAAAATGGAAAAAATAAAATGTACTAGGTAGAGAGCTAGTTAAGGCAGATGCTGTTAATTATTGTCAGTTTGTGTCCCCTGTCCCCAAAACCATTTGCCCAGATGTCTCTTTTCTTATGGTGTGACCCAGTATTAAAAAAAACCAAAAAACATGGAGGGGAAAGTATGTGGAGAAATGGTTGTTGAGTATCAAAAATCCCTCATGGGTTTCTTGATTTGTTAGCTCTCTTCAATTTTAAGTATATTTTTAATTCAAGTATTTTCTTTTTGTACCCGAATGGAACCTTCTTTTGATTTCTGGTTGGTTTTGAAGATACATTGGCTCCAGAACACTACACCCCCAAGAATGAGCTCAAAGAAAGAGAAGGTTTGTAGGTTTTCTGTGGGGGTGGAGCTGAGTAGGTGGTGGTGTGTCATCTTCCTGTGACTCAGTATATCTTTCTGCCCTGCTCTTTTGCACATGCATTGTTCAGGTTGGGAGCGATCTTTCAGTATGTTGCACTACCAGGCAAGGGTTGCACCTGATGATGGCAGTAGAGGCTCATTAGACAGGATTACACAGGCTGTGGGTTTCCAGCAGAGCCTGGTCAGTTCCTTCCAGCCTTTGGTACAAGGCAGCATCTGCTCAGAGCTGCTTTGCTTGCCTCACTAGTGAATCCTGATGAGTTTCTAAGCCATCACAGTGACTGTTTCACCACGGCCAATTTAACTTAATGATATTCAGGAAGAATCAAGTTTATCATGTTAAAATATAAGGGGATGTTGTGATGTAGGTGGACGTCTAGACTAAGCATTTCTGCTCTTCTACTAAGAGTAGAGGCTAAGCTACTCTTCCCAGCCCTGCCCTTCTCCCCTCTTTTTTTTAAGTAAACTCCTTGCCCTGATGGCTATAGAGGAGGAAGACAGGACAGGGCATGACACAACTGAGTTGACAGCAGAGGCAACTGAAAGCAACCAAATCTTACAGCGCTTTATCTCATAATTTTAAAGCTGCTGCTATGACTCTAGAGACTTGTTAATAATTTTTCAATTGTGGATTTGAGGATGCCGTACAAGCCACTTCTGTGGAGAAAACTTCAGATGACTGGACCCTTTATTCTGCTTTTTCAAGTTAAATTGTTAGTTGCATACAGATTACTGTCATAACATTCTGTTGATAGCAATATATTGTAGAAGAGAAAACTACAAATGGTTTCACAGATCCTTACCCTGAGTCTGTTATCATAATCTCTCTTTATTGTGCAAGTTCTTGAGATAATGAGGGGTTCAGCATCACTGAGGATGTGGCAAGCATCACCACAGTGTAACTGGGAAGGATAATTGATGATGTCAAGTAAAGAGACAAGCTCCTTTCCAAAGAACTCAATGAAGTTCAAAGGGATGATTCACAATGGGAAACTTCATGTATAAGGTATGGCAATGAGATAAATGACAATTGAGAAGGGTTCTTGAGGATTTGAAGAGGTTTTAGTGTTCTTACCTGGCAAGAAAGGGTTCATCTCAGGCTGATTATGGAACTAATGAAAATATGTCCAGCTGCACAGAATTAGCCGATAGGAGTTAAAACCCAAGGCATTCTGGCAAATGAGTTCAGGAAGGGTAGAGTTAAGATGATAATGCAGAAGAAAGATTCTCAGGAATTTAGAGATACATAAAGATTTTGAAGACTATAGATGGCCTCTATTCCATGTGTTCCAGCTGCTGCAAGTCCTTTGGCCTGTTTGTCTCTTCCACATTTTTTCTTTACAATTAATACTAGCCATGCCTTGATGGCCTCTTACGCGAAGTAACATCTTTATGACTCTTGTCCTTAGTCTGCCAGCACTGCCAAAACCACTATCACTTTTACCTTCATCACTTCCTTTCCTTTGAGATGCTCTTTCTGTTCTGCCAGCTTCTGTATTTTACTTTAGGTGCTTTAGCCCTCCTAAGAAGGCTAGGTATATTTCTCAAGTTCTTACCAGAACCCTTTCTCACTGGGATACAGGAAGGGAAGTTAACTTCTTTCCCCATTAATACCAACTGAGGGGCATTAGTTTGTTTCCCCACTGACAAGGTTTAAATCCCCATGTCTCCTGTTGCAGCATCTTCTGCACTGTATCCTTCTTCCATTGAAGAAGCCTCATCTATTTTCACTACTAGTGATTAAAAGCAGCATGTGAACTTTGCTTAAAAACAAAGTGAGTTCTAACCTGCAGGCTGGACATAGTTGCTGCCTCAATCACAAATGTTTAAAGAACAGATATGTATGAACTAAAATATCTTGTTTAAAGAAGTGGCCCAAAGCCTATGTAGTTTATGGCTAATCTCGTATTTTGAATGGAACTACATTTATAACTTTTGGGATGGGCAACCCTGGCCACCTGCTGATTCCTTCTCCCCACTGTTACACTTCTGTGCTTTCCTCATTGCTATCTTTGACATATATTATGCTAGATTTTATGTTACCTCATTTTCTGCAGGTTTTTCCATGAGAGCCCTTTCTCCAATGGCTTGAAGGGTCATCTTCAGAGTTTCCGTAGAGCTGTAGTACTAAACATGATTAAAGAAAGAGAAGCTAACTTGCTGCTGGTTTTATCTGTCAGACTTCTTTATCCCTTGCCGACACCAAGTCTCTCCTTTCTGTGTTTACTCTTCTCCTACTTAGTTTGGACTAACAGGGCAGAGGTCAAAGCAAGTTCAGAGTGGGGCACAAGATCAAAGTTCCTGAAGTCAAACAACCACAGGGTGGTGTAATTTCAGAGAAAGTGCTAGGGAAATGCTCTTTCTGTAGTCAGTGATGAGGCTGACTCGTCTGTGCAAGCCTAAGAGAGAAAGAAGTATTGTCCTCTCTAGCCTGAATGTCCCACCTAATATTGGGTGGATGGATGCCATTGTCTAGTGCTGTATTACCATTTTCAGGTGGCACAGCCACCAGAATGCAGATGTGTGAATTTCCAGGGCCCTTCTTTAAATATAAAATGGGACAAGTAAACTATCTCACCATGAAGAAAAGAAGGGAGGTGCCTTCTTCTTGTTCTCTGGTTAGCACAGTACATAGCTCCTAAAAGCAATACCACAAAGACTGGGAGGTAACAACAGAGGCATGGATCAGACTATTCATTACTCAGTATGAGTAATGGTATTAACCACATTGTTAGAGATATTTAGTAGTTGCCACGGAGGATTCCAGTGCAGAGAATTAAACAGTAACAAGTTCAGGGCTATGAAATCCTGGTAAAGCTTTGTGTCAGCAAGAGTTTTGTGAAGACTCTGACCCTCTGCAGTACTGCCCAGGGTCTGGTGGAGCTGAAAAATGGTCAGGTTTCGTCCCATTGCTTCCTGACAATATATTGGGGAATTCAGTTAAACTAACTTGATGTGTCAAAGTGGTTAAAATACAAAATAACAGCTTATTCTTTCATATTTGAATCATCTGTAAACCTCAGGAACCTCCTGTGTAGGGGAGTTCTCTGTTGCAAAACTGCCAGTGTTGATGTGTTCATTTTTTTTCCCTGCCCTGTGACAGCTGGCAGAGCTTTTTTACAGGGTTGGCCAAATAGGATGTGGCATAGTGATCTATGGGAGGTCGCTGGTATGTTTGGGGACAGCCACTCTTTGAGCTATCCAGCATCCTAGGAGCAGGATATCAGGTATCCAGCTATCTGAGCTAGCAGCTTCCTTTGAGCTATCTCCTGAGCACTGGAAATGTGGTCTGCTTTCCCAACCGCATGCCATCTCACCCAGCTGAGACTAAGCCCACTATACAGCTTTCAGTGTATGCACAGCACTAATCCAAGACTGCAGTACTCATCTGGAACATTTTTTTTCACTCACTGAAGGAATGTGTAACCAAATTTTACTCTCATCTGGAACTTCATAGAGCTAAAACTGTTAATAACTTCCCTGGTTCAGCCTGCCAGGGTCCCAGTGAGCTTCCCTATATAAGACGCAGTTCCTGAGATTCTACCACCAGTAGGTTTAAAATCAAATTCTTCAAATGTTTGGTTTGTTCTAATCATAAAGCTGAAATGCCAGTGTAAGCAGTGTGGCTGCTTGGGGCTTGTGTCCCTTATGTAGAAGCTCCATGCCTGTAGCATCTTCCCTCTATGGATGAATTTGGAATAACTATGACTTCCAGGTCACTATGCCAGGTGTCCTTAGCTGTGTCCAGCTGTTAAGTGTTCTTGAACTTAGTGCAGACTTGGTGGGCATAATGTGAAATCTCACAAGAAGGTTGAGAAGCCGTTAGCATGTTAACATGTTTTATTTAGTTATGGAGACATTTGAAGTATGAGGGAGGATAGGAACCACTGACTTGCTGATCTTCAGGTGAATGTAGATGGTGCCAAATGACCTCTGAAAATCCTAATGCTTGTAAGATTATAGGGTAATTCAGGCTTCCTGGTACCTCAGGAGGTCTCCAGTGCAACTGTCTGCTTAAAGAAGTCAGCTATGAGATCAGAACGGGCTACTGAGCACTTTGTCAGGGTCACCTGCCCGTTAAGCTTGGGCCATGCTCTTATTTTCAGGAAACAGACAAACATTATTACCATAAGCCTGTGTGTGAGGGATCAGGAGGTATTTTTATGGTTTTTCCACTTTGAATTATACAAAGATGTCTTTTCTATCTAAAGTGAATTTTCATATTTTATTTTTTTTTCCCGCAATGAAACATTTAAATTTTTCATGAGAAAAACCTTTCATTTCCACTGTATTAAAACATCCAGATTACTTGTAAAGAACACAAGGGAAAGAAAAGTTTAGATTTCCTGAAAAGTGTTAGAGGACAAGCTAGCTGTGGGAGGAGCTGGATGGCTTAAGGATTTAATTTCCTCCAGTGCCTGGGAAAACAGAAATGTGGCTCACTGGACATCACCCCAACTGCTGAGCAGAGTTTTTATAAATATTTAAATGTGTAATGCAAACTAAAGTAATTCTGGCATTGACATCCCTCAGTGAACTGCATGGTGGATACCTGGCCCCCAGGCTTAGATGAATTTCTGGTTATTCAAAGCTAAATACTGTCAACAAGAGCAGTCTGTACATTTGGGATTAGACCATGTCTGTAGGAAGTGATGGCTTGTGTACTATCAGGTAGGAGAAAAGATCTAATAGAACAAGAGTTGCTTCTCTAACCAGTAGGTTTATCGGTGGTTTTAGCACTCAAACACATTTTTTGGGGAGATTTGGTTTTATGCTAACTGTGTTTTCTCTGCAGATGAAATTTTTTGGTAAATTTTCAGATTTTTTTTAGCCTATGATATATACTTTTTATTCTAAGCACTTTTTGATGAAAATACTCTTTTATGTCTGGACAGTGAGAACAAATCTCTCATTGTGATAAGCAGGAAGTTGCAGCTGCCTCAAGTTAACTGAGGACACTGAAAATGTTGTCTTATGAATTAAATGATCGTTTACTAATAAGTCTCATCTTAACAAGTCTACAGAGTTTCTGAATCCCCTATGGACAGGAATGTAATGGGAAAGCAGGAAAATATCCTGAATTCCTTAATATGTGCAACCGCAGCACATGAGTTAAAGCACATGGTTATGAGCATTTAGAAATAAAACTATTTGTTTTGTTTCTTCCAAAGAAGCTTAACTTACGTTACACCTTATTTCTAAATAAGAGGAGCTATACATGCACTTAATCCAGCTGCTTCAGTGGAAACACACTTTGATGTCTCTGCAGTTTTTAGTGATCATTTCTCAGTGTCTCTTTGCTCAGACATGTACTAGGTGACATCCAAGCAGCAGGCTCATGAGGGATGTGACACAACTGGCAGTGTAGTTTTAGTTTCTGAATCTGGTTCAGATTTTCTAATACGTAGCTAATGATGGTTTAAGACACCTGTTAATACTGAAGAGGGTAAATCCTATTTTCCCATTCCTGCTTGAGTTTTATAACAGTTGAGGCTTATACAATTAGTTTTGTATCTCCTTGTCTAGTGCAAAGTGGATGTAACCAGACAGGAATCAATTTCTGGCCATTTTGCATAATATAAGGTCTCCTGTTCTATTTGATTATACTTTGTATCCTGTACAAAAAGCTGGTGGGACATGGCTTTTTTTGGCATATGTACAGCAACTGTGTACCAAGTCTTCAGAAAATTTTATCAAGCTGCTGAGTCCAAGGGAAAAAGGAGCCAGAGAAATCAAATGCAAAGTAGATCTGGTGTTTGGAGGGCTGGGTTTACAGTGCACATTAGACCTTCCTATATCAATCAACTTGCTATTCTAAATTAACTGTAACATAAAAGTTAAGTTTAGGTGCTCTGCCATCCAACACTATGTGACATCCCCACAATTCTGAAGGCTGCTGTGCTTCACAGAGACCAGAGAGCATCGGCCTTTCTTCTCTTATGTTTTTCTGCAGAGAAACTTAGAAATCTGTGGTTAAAAGGACTGCTCAAGACAGTACACAATTTTAAAACTTGATATAGAAGGAAAAGAAAGGGAAAGGGTTGGGGGGAAACGACCTTGGGAATAACTGGCCATAAATGTATATGATTCATCATCAGCCTCCAGCTCTACAGTAAATGCCCCCCAGCACTTTCTCCTGGGCCAAGTCAGAATAGAAAAGTGGAACTAATCCACTGAAATGTCACAGCCAGCTTGAAATGCATCACACCAGACACATCTTTCTATAATTTGCTTAGAAGGGGTCATCTACCAGATGTACTTGCCTACATGTCTCATTTAGCATACCTGTTAGTTTAGAAATGGTGAAAGATGGCAGAAATTAGCAATCATTGTGCATTAACATTGCAAAGCTGCTCACAAGCAAAGCAGAAGTAGCAATGGTGTGGTCTTACTTCAGCCCCTTCTGTTTGACTGTATTTCAAAACAGGTAGTTACATAACAGCATCCCATTCTTTCTGTGAGATACTCTCCCCCTTCCCAGGGACAGGCTTCTGGGGTTCCATTGGGGGCATACTGTGTGCCTAAAATTATTGTAGGGGATGTCCTCCATATAATAAAATTTGGGATATGTGGGGGTACATACTTAGGAATAGATTGCCCCAAAATCTTTCTCTGGGTGTTGTTTGCTGGCACATATGCACAACTAACTGTGGAGTTGTCCATGGGGAGAGATTTTTGTTTGCAAAAGCTTGGCACAGAGTGTGTAGATATCACCAGCTCATAGCTGCACACATTTCTGTGTCATCAGTCAGTGGTTTATTGCAGCTGGCATGTGACAGAAGTTAGTGAAGAAATGGGAGTCTCAAGTTAACCACAGATGTTTGTACTCTCACTTATCTGGGATACAGAGCCCAACCCTGGGGCCTCTCCCTACTGGGCACTGCTCACTTGCCCTGAGGCTACAGCACCCAAAAGCAGGGTAGCAAGGCAGCAGTGGAGGGAGTGCCTCCGTGCTTGCTGTGCAGATGGTTGGGCAATGCTGGGAGGAGATAGCATTATTTGTAGCAAAAAGATAATCTCTGTGGTAAAAGATGTGGCTGTACACCAACCTCTAATGAGCAGAGGTGATTTTTGGAATGTAGTCAAGGCCATAGGTCTCTGACTGGCTAAGACACTGGTGAAATGCTTATGGTGTGTGTTAGTTATTCTGTCATTTTAAGCATCCTGTGAAATATACCTTAGTTAAATCTGACTTTCTTATGGCAGAAAGAACTGGAAATTACAAGTGCAAGTCTGAAAATTTATGGGATGTTTTATAAAGAATGTGTGGGGAATGAAGATGAGTGATTTTGAAGCCAGAATGATCTGAGGATACCAGCAAAGCAGTGATTGCAAGGCAGGACTTTTTATTAGATCACTTCCTATGACTAGAAGAAAGAGGCAAAATTTAAACCACTTTTTTTTTTTTCTTTAGGTCTGAAATTGAAGTATTTTACATAGGTTGAATATAATTCCTCTGGGTATATTGTTTCTAGACAATAATTTTGACAATTTAAGGTGTATTTGGAACTTGTGGTGCAAAAGACTATAAGCAAGGAAGCAGTGTTAAGTTCACTAGTCCTGTGGGACAAAGGTAGAAAAGGGTGGTTGTTATAATTAAAACACTATTGTTGTGATTCAGAGACCATCTGACAGCCATGCAGCATTATTTACCAGCAAAGCCCATGCCAACAATGCTTACAGAAATTGAACTAAACAGAAGGTTTGCATTTACGTCAGATCCCAGCCAGGGCAGTAGGTAGGGGAGAGGAAATTCACTGATAAATGGAAAAGGAACTAAGAAAAATTGGCAGGGAAAGTAATGCTATTTTCCAGCCTGCAATAGGATGTAATAAACAATGGATGTAACTTACAGTTATTTATAAAAAAGGTCCTTTCAGAGCAGTGACCCTCTCACCTAGCGTCTGTAGAAGATGGAGGTTCACCCCTCTGTGGACCTAATTTTCTGAGTCTGAGAGAGCTTCCAGCCTGTCAGTGGCTGATCTGTCCCCAAGGGAAAGTATCTTGAGAACATTTCTCTCTCGAGGACCAGTTTTGTAAATAACTTCATTTTCTCAAAACAATTCTGTACAGCTGTGCTGAGTGTGTTTTCTTTTGTTCCACCAATGGGACAAGAGAGGTGGTGTTCCCTTTACCAATCGTGTTAAACCTGTATTGTAACACTCTATAAAGAAGATGAAAAGTTCAGAAATATACCCTTCTGATGATCTACTCTCTGCCTGTTGCATTGAATCCACGCTCTTTGTTTAATGTCCAACAGTGACACTCCTCCAGAGGGAAGGGGTAAGCAGTAAATATTTTGGATTTAATGCTTTGTTCCTTCCTGTCCAGGCTATGGAAACCTGAGCCCCAGCACTGCAGTTGGGCGAATCTTCTGCATCGTTTTTGCACTTTTTGGGATCCCCTTGAACCTTGTACTCCTGAATGAAATTGGGCAGCTCATGCTGCTTGGGGTTCAGCATTGTGCTCATCGCCTAGAGGAGGTATTTCACTGGCAGGTAAGCACTATGGACAGGCATATCTTAAAGAAAAAAAAAGACAGAGGACATTGTATGGTATTTGAGATCCTGTGACTAACAAGAACAGCCTGGCTGACTATTTGACCAAAAAGGCAATAATACTCAGGAATAACTGGAAGCAAATAAATTTAGTTTATGATAGCCCTATGAGATGTCAGATAAGGTTGTTCATTAATTGAAGGAAATTCTGTGATGAATGACTTCCCCTACAGTAGCAGTAGTGATAAAACATGTGAGCAATGCACAGTCCTATACTATCTGGTCAGTTTATCATCACTTTTAGATAGAATTGTATGTGAAAGTTACATGGGAACATTTGTGGAACAGGCTTTATACTGGCATGAATTTAGGACTTGTGAAGGTGATGCCAGATTTGTGTTGGCTGGGTGTTGATGTTTAACCTTAGCTAAGCACTATGCAACTACTCATCCCTTCCCAGAGGGATGGGGAAGAGAATCAGAAGAGTTAAGAATTCATGTGTTGAGGTAAAGAGTTTAATAAGTAAAGCAAAAGCTGTGCACACAAGCAAAACAAAAAAGGGAATTTGTTCACCACTTTCCATTAGCAGGCAGGTGTTCAGCCATTCCCAGGAAAGCAAGACTCCATCATGCATAACACTTACTTGGGAAGACAAACTCCATCCTTCTGAACATTCCCTGCTTCCTTCTTCCCCCAGCTCTATATGCTGAGAATGATGCCATATGGTATGGAATATCCCTTTGGTCATTTGGGCTCAGCAGTCCTGGCTGTGTCCCCTCCCAAATTCTTGTGTACCCCTGGCCTAGCCACTGGTAGGGTGGGATGAGAAGCTGAAAAGGCCTTCCCACTGTGCAGGCACTAGTCAGCATCAATAGAAACACCTCTGTATTACCAACAGTTTTCAACACAAATTTAAAGCACAGCCCCCTACTAAGGGGAAGAAAATAACCATCCCAGCTAAAACCAGCACACATGTGGGACAGACACACCATTGTAGTGGAGTTCAGTGAATATTTGTATGCATTTGTGGAGTCCATGATCATATCATCATCATTTCCAACTGGAAACCAAGCTGGACTTTCCTTGTTGCACTGCTTGTGACAATCTTTGGGGGTTTTTGGTTTCCCTTCCTGTTTTACTAGAATAAGGCTTCCTTCCTGATGAAGACCTGTGCACTGGTAACTGGCTTGTTATTGTTCCTCCTGCTACCTCCCTTGTTATTCTCTGACAAAGAAGGCTGGTCTTATGAAGAAGGCTTCTACTATTCCTTCATTACCCTCAGCACTATAGGGTTTGGAGACTATGTGATTGGTGAGTAGCTCACATTTCATTGCTTTCACCTACTGAACAGCAAATCCATGACATACAAAACTCCCCTCTTGTCAGTTTGGCACCAGTAGTAATCCCCAGAACTGATGATCCGTATGCTGTTGTGAGCATTTAACAGGTTGGAAAAGATGAGATTTCTGCCATAGCAACACCACCTGTGGAAGAACAAAGACATTGTTTCCCAATCATTCTGTGGGATTGAAATGGCCTGTGCCTTGAATGACTGCACCACTAGGCAGGAGTGCTATGGTTTAATCACAGTAGTTGCTGAGGCACACTTATTACACTCCAGTGCATCAACAGCCATTAGTTTTAAGCCCCTCTGCATCATCATTAACAGACAGGGACTGTTTCTTCTGTCAAAACTCTACATAACTGCATTCTAAAAGGCAGCTTAAGTCACTTAGGTACAGTCAGGCGCTACCTAGTTTTAGATGCCAAAACCCTTTGCTGGAGGAAATGGGATTGGATTCATACCCACTGCATTTGCTGATATGCAGGACACACCTTTCTGATAAAGACTTTCTCATTAAAAACAAACTGATTATAGAAACACATGCACCCTTGAATTCCTGGGAGACTGAAAGAGTAAAACATCTTGTTATGGATTTGCTATTTTCTTCATACTACTTTTTGGATGCTTAGACAACTTAGTGGTAGTAATTTTAGGACTTGTCTGTAATGCATCAAAGTTATGATAAGAGCTTGTGTAGGCACACGTAAATAAGTTAGAAATAAAGTTAGCTTGGGGAAGGGTAGGCAGATGGAGTTTGACAAAAGCTGGGTCAGCTCTGCATTTTTCTATACTGATTTTACAGATTATGCTGAACTCTGTGCTACAGCAGCTTTACTTCTCTCAGTTTCTGGTAATGCATTTGGTATTCCTTCCTCTTCTATGTGTGCTTTTACCTGTGTAATACATTTGTAACTGGAATACTGCCACAGATACACTAGGTTTGGTATGGGAATAATTGAATATGTCAGTTGTGGTATGTAGAGGCTAAACAATTTTGCCTTACAATCCTGTATGTGTGGTTTATGCCTCAAAAATAAGATTCAAGTGATAATCATGCTGGAGAACCACTAGTGTGCTACAGAGCTGGGAGGAATCCCTGACCTACTATGAAGTATCTATGCAGAAAAGGACCTGGCAGTCCTAATGGGCACCAAGGTGTCCATGATCCTGCAGAGTGTGCCTCTGTGGCTGTGAAGGCTGGTGATAATTTCAAACTGTCTTCCAAGGTTTGGTTGTTCTTGGAGGTTTTAGGACTACTTAGGCCTCTTTTCTCCCACTCTGAGACTCTCTTGCTTATATCAGGTTTAACAAGATACGTACAGTGGTACATAAAACCTGCTTACCCCTCTGCCTGCAGGAACCCCTGTTACATGCTAATAGAATATTGTGGTGCTGAGTGGTAAGTAGAGAAACTAAACTGTGTGCTTGAAAGTGAGTAATTTTACTCTGACATAGATGTAATTTGGGAATTTTTTTCTTTCTTATGAGTGGTATTTGCAGTTCCTAAGGACTACTAGGCTGTTACTGACACATCATGAAACATACTTACAACATCTCTTACTACATGCTAAGTAGATGGCATACTTGTGTTTTGTGTAGAAACCACTAATATTCAATGATATTTCAACTATCTTTGCTTTGCATGTAATGTCTCATTTGAGGCACTCTCGATCCAATGTAGAAATGTTTTGGGTGATTCTGTTGTAGGGATGAACCCAGATCGCACCTATCCAAGCTGGTACAAGAATGTAATCTCTCTGTGGATCCTCTTTGGGATGGCCTGGCTAGCATTGATTATCAAATTTTGCATCAACATTCTAGAGAGCTCCAGTGACTTCTGTCAATGCCACAAGCAGAACACAGAGATGGCAGAAGATTTCATGGATGGTAACAAAAATAGTATGACTGGACTTCAAAATGCAGAGATCAGCAGTAACAAAGACACAAAAATGAAGGAACCAGTTGAATCCCACTCTTACACAGCTCCTACAGAAGCCCTCTAGGGAAGAAAAATACCCTTGGTGTTCTGTAGGTTTTAGTGCACCAAAGATGAACCATTTAGAAATGTGTAAGTGGAGCTGCCCTGACCTGTGAATGGAGTGAATGTTTGCTTATTGAGCTTGAAATGCTTTCATTCTGAATTGAGCAATGACAGAATGTTTCATTTGCAGCAGCACCAAGTATTACCAATAGGATTTTTATCCAAAAGTAGATTTATGGAAATATTACCTGCTCTCCCACCTCAGTCTATGAAGTAATCTTTGACATCACTGAACAACATGAGCTGCTGTCCATTTCTAAGCATGATTCCTGCAGCCTCTAGTTATATGTATGGCATTTTGCAAATGCCACAGCCATGAGAGCAAGTGCCATTTAATGCAGGGAACAAATAGCATATTGCTAAAAGAAATTAAAAGCACTGTTTAAAGCTATCTGGCAGTTATGGCAAATGTGCACCATCACCTATATAGTCGTACTTGTGAAAGGTGGTAACGAGGTGCCTGATAGAAACAGATCATTCCATTTTTTAAAATTTCTGTATCAGAGGTCTGCTAACAGAGATTGGGTAGGCTATTCCTTACTTCAGAACTTGTGGGTTCATCCTTTGAAATATTTTGCAGACCAAATGTCATCAGCTAAACATGACAGTTCATTTAGATAGATCTGTATTTTGCCACATCTTGGAAGTCAGAAAAGAAGGACTAGAGGCAATTTTAAGAGTCAGTGGCTCCAACCTTTTCCTTTTGCCAATATTAACAAAGGCTACTTCAATCTAGAAACAGACTGATTTTTCTTCAACTATGATCAATTGATGTTGTTGTGATGAACTTCTCATGTCATGAATGATTAGTGTACCTGTTCTAACATGTTACATATCATCACAATTGGTTTTCATCTGCAGAATGCCAGACATAGTTATTTGACCTTTGTGTCTGTCATGAAACTGACACAAAGGAACTTGGTTGGGTGTTTATAGTTCCATTAAATTCTCAAAAATCTTTTGATACATTATGCTATTTATAAAGGTGCAACAGAGTCTAACTCCTGGTGCTGTTTGTATTCTATTACCTGTTCTTCTCATTTTGTTATTCCTGTTGTGCTATTTGTATCCTGTGCATTAACTTTGGAAACTTCACCATGACAGCAAACCTGAATGAAGCATGTGGTTGAGCCTTCAGCTTTTGCAGCGAACCAAGATTCCACGGGGTAGTCAGAGAAAAGACTGGAAACAGAGTTTGCCAGAATGTGGGACTGAATAATTAGAAATATCCATAGCTATATCCACAGAAATCGAGTGAGTGAAAAGCGTACAGTTTTCAGGAGTAAAAGTTCTGAAATATATATTGTGAAAAATGTGTTTCCAGAAGAGGCCAGTCTGAGTGTTGGTATCTGGTAGGATTACAGGAAAAAAATGCAACAAAGGGATCAGCTGAATTAAACTTAGTCTGTTGACCTTTTTATGATTGCACAGTAGTTCTCTCAAATATGGTTTGAAGGGGCAGCAGAGATCAGGAAGGGAGGCAGTAGATGTCTTGGATCATACTAAGGCAAAATAAATACATTTCACATTTTTGAACATTGGGTAATTTCTTTAACAGCCTTTAGAATAAACTTTTCTGTTCCATGTTTCATCTTGCTTATTTTCACTGATGGATATACAATGTAGGTTTTACTGGCCTACATGAAGAAGAAAATATATTTCTTAAAATAATGAGTAAATTACAATTCTGCTTCACAAAATGTGATACCCTTTAATGAATTTCCTTTGCACCTTTTTTTCACATGCAAAACTTAGTAAGTATAGGTGTACTGTAAAATTTGGATGTCCAGGAGGAGGTGGTAGGAGTTTCTGCTGTCAAAGCACAGGAATGACTGACTATGTTAATCTGTTTCGACTTTTAGTTAAAATGTCACAGACTCTGGGATTTTCTGCCAACTCTGCTCTTTGATGAAAAGGCTTATAGAAGACTTGAGAAGAGTTTCTTCTTTTAAATTTGCATGTCTATTACATTAATCACAATTAATGCTCCTATGTATTTTTAGGCTGTAGATGGGGTTTTCAAAAGTGCCTTAGAAGCTTAGGCACCCTAGTCCCACCAAAAAGCAGAGTTACATGTCTTTAGGCAGCTAATATACATTTCTGAGAGGCAAAGGTGAGAGGAACTCAAGGAGTAGTCTTGGGAAAAAAGGATAAAAACCTTTTGCAGATCTCAGTCTTTCCCACTATATGTCAGGGTTCAGCCACAGACTTAGGCATGTGGCTGGATCTCAAGATGCCTCATTTTCTGCCCCAGCTGTCCTTTCTGAGTCACTTCTTTCCACAGCCCTGCTGCCCAGCTGCTTACCACAAATACAGTATCCCATATTTATGGGAGACACATCAGAACTGCTGGAAAGCCACATATACTTCCAGAGATACAAGTGCTTGCTTGGATCTTGGATCACCAAAAATTTTAAGAATAAATGAATCAAATACCATCTCTGACTGGATTCTCTGACACTGAATTATTATGTTGTCTCTTATGAATATCCTCTTTGTCACACTTCCTCCCAGCTAGCTTTGGATGTGGACAACATTTGTATATCTGAGTATATATGAGTCCCAACAAAGTGCTGTGCTTCTGGTCTTTCTGCTCTTTATAAAGCTGCATTGTGGTGAAATGATATGAATGAATTTGTTCCCAGAGGGATGAGAAGAAAGTGGAGTTTTGTAACATCACAGAAACACCATCATCAATATGTCTAGTATACCAAAATATGAAAGGATATCTTTACAAGGATAAAATAAAGAAAATAAAAGCATGGTCCTGTTATCATTCTTGTCACAGCTGACTTGCAGTCTTCTGTAGTCTGTGTTGGGAAATTACAGATGCTCCTTGATTAATTTTTTTTGTCTCTTTCTGTTTATAAGATAAATGTGCAGTTTTGATTAGTAATTTCAAATTAAACTTTCACTGCTATCATTCTCAAGTCAATTTTTCCTTATTATCTTGTTTTCTTCCTTGGGAAGAGCAGAGGTTAGAAAAAGGTTTGGTTAGTAGTGGTAGTTGTAAATATTTATGTAACATCAATCTCTAGAGGGTTTTTCACAATCACATAGAGCATAATGTGCTTCTGACCTTTATACAGTTTCCCAGGAAATCAATCCCTTGAAGCAAGAAAATAGAGAGGGAGCTTTCTCCCCAGCTTCAAGGACAAGTTCTTGTTTCAGCCTCAGTGTTTCTTACGCAGGCTGTTTCTGCTAGGCCAAAAGAGATGTTTACTCCTTGGGGAGAGATGTGTCTAGAAGTCCATAACAGGATGTCACAGCAATGTAGACTGCTCAGAACTACACAGTTTTTGTCTAGCTGACTACAATATTTTGAGGTCCCTAGACTAGAACAATAAGGATCCTTTCCCATTATGGTCTATGGCTTCAGAAAAATTCCAGGATGTTATTTTTCTTTCAGTGTATGACTGATGATATATTGTCTTACAACTGATATCCCAAGTCAGTTTAGAGCTGAAATCTGTTAGCCTAGAAGAGTTTCAGGGGGATGTCATCAGTGTAGCTAAATATCTGCAGGGAAGGTGTGGAGAGGATGGAGTCAGGCTCTTTTTCAGTGGTGCTCTGTGATAGGGAAAGAGGTAATGGCCACAAACTGAAACACCAAGAAACACTTTTTCACTATCCTCCTCCTAGTAGTCCACTGTACACAGCCGTCCCCTCTCTTCAGACTGTCTCCAGTAACATCTAGGTTGCATTGACGGTAGACCTTCCTGTAATTATGTAGATGCTAATTATTTTTGATCTCACAGTCAGAAATGTGCTTTATAAGAAGGGTGGTACGGAGCAAATACAATTATTTGGGGGAGGGGGGGTGTCTCATCCATATGTTAGATACCATTGTACCATTACAAAAGCGTTCAATGATGTTCAGCTTTTCAGGTCAGTATAGCCTCCTGTCAGTGTTATGTATCTGCCTGCAAGTTCCAGAAGGATTTGGTGCTTCATCTCTGACATGCTTCAGGTAAGGTAAACCTCATTTTGGTTTATCTTTTCTAAAGTAGAGGCATACATTGGTATGGGTGGCTACTTACCAATTGAATTAGGCAAAATTTTCATGTATTGAGGTCTTAAAAATACAAGTTTGTCACTCATGTAAATAAATATTCTGTCTGATGAAAAAGATGGATACAATAAACAATTGGTCTTTTTCAGTACTGTTATGCCATGACCTAGGGAACTGTGTGCACTGATAGTGTCTCCCAGTAGTCCTGGCTATGGTAGTATCAGGGCGGATAACTTTTGTGTTTGCCTCTGATCATCGTTTTGGTCTTAGAAAGTTTTTTAGGACTTTTTGGGGGTTTTTTGAGGGTTTTTTTGTTTGTTTGTTTGTGGGTTCTGTTTGGTTGGGTTTTTTGGGGTTTTTTTTGCTCATGTTTTTTGAATATCTCAAATAAGTATATCAAAACTTAGAGTTGAAATGAAGTTGGGTCTGAAATCTGGGCAGCTGTCACACTAGATGGTCCTGGGCAGAGATTCAGAGGTTTCTCAGAAAGATGTGTGACTACAATGATACAATATCTTTGCCCTGAAAAATCTTCGTTTCTCAGGACTGAGATTTAACCAGATGTTTAGGGCAGGATTTTTTTCAGAGAGAAACTGATAAACGTTTAAGCTAGTACTAAATAGGTAGAGAGGATCTCTGGTACCTCTTAAATTAATGTGTGTTGCAGTAAGAGCCACTGAAGAGCTGTCACTGTTGGGTCTCCCCATGGATTCTCTTGAGATCCAGCATCTCTGGATGTTATTGCTATTTGTTCCATGATATTGCCTTTGGAATTCAGAACAAAATGTTTCAACTGAGCAATGTGTTGAAAGCACAAGGATTGAATCTGAGGATACATTTTGATGTGACATAAAATTAATGATGACAGTTAGTAGCCACGAGAGAGTGTACCACATAATGTTCTTGTTATGACTCTGGACTTAAACTTCTGAAGTTTAGAACCTGTCCCAGAATTTCTTTATGATTTCACAAATAAGGACATTTACCACTCTATCAGCATCCCACCTCTATAATCTCTAATTCTCAGGAAAATGGTACAATATTCCCTGCTATGCATAGAGTAGCTAACAGAGGAATTCACTGAATACAGAAAATAAAAGAGCTAACCAAGCCAGTAAAAAAAAGCCAAAACAATACAAACAGGTGAACCCCACTTTTAATCATAGTGAAGTACCTTTGTCTGGACTAGGTCCAGATGTTAAGTGTAAAGCCAGTGCTTTGTCTTGGAAAAAAAAAGATGGAATTAAGTGCTTGGGACTGGTATCTGGGAAGGAGGGATCTGTTTTCAAGTCTTCAGTCTGACACAGGTAGGGCAGGCCAGCAGTATGACATGATTGCCACCTGCTTAAGGTTCATGGGCAGGCCATCATTCTTTAAGCTGTTTCACTGCTCATAAATTACTAACTTGGCTGTGAGAACTATTAACTATCCTCTCTCTTGCTTCATGAATCACTACATGTGTAAATTTTTATGTGGATTTAGTCCTTAGGGAATTGCTGCAATAGGAAGCAAAAGAATATCCAGTTTGGATAGCAGTAGCCAGTGGTGTGAAGAATTGCCGTCAGAGGTGTCACTGAGTTAGCTTTCCTGAGTTTAGATGCTTAGTTCTCAGGCAGTGTAAGAACATCTTGGTGTTAGATGGACTTGTCCCATAGTGGAGCCCTTAGCCCTAAAAATGGTAAACATGTTCCCCATATAATGTATGACAATGGTTAGAGACATTTTTTATCAAGGAGTTGTCCATGTGAGCTTGCAAAACAAGCAGATGGGAAAACATCAAAGAATAGATACAGAAGTAGCTGACTGGCATTTCCACACTGAATTTAACCACAATTTCTTTGGCAAGCACCTACATTCAACTTTTCTGTTTGTAGAAACCCAACAGAGACACCTCAAAACGGTCGGCAGCTAAATGGTTAGGGAAGTCATTTAGGTTAAGCAATGCATGTTCAAATTTCTGTGTGATTAAAATAGAAGGATTTAAATCTGCATGATAGTAAAGGCCCCAGGCTAAATGGAAGCTGGTCTTTCTCAGTCTTCTTTGCTAAATACTTGTGAGGATAGAGAGCCAGTGGTTCAATCTGTTGCTCACTTGTGAAGGTATGGGAGTTGTTAAAAGGTGACATTTAGGATCCGTTCTGTGAATGTTAAATAGTTGCACCAAGTGGGACAAGTGTACTGGTAGAGACTGAAAAAGATTTAACTCAAGGTACATAAGCAAACTCCAGGTGAGGCAGAGCCTTCAAATCCTGTCCCCAAATCCCAAGTGATCACCTGCTGACTAGCTAGAGTAATTTTGAGAAGGTCACTAGCTCCTAACTAGAGCATGGAGGCACCTACAAAGCAGTTGCCACTTATTGGTGATGGAAAGAGATGGGGACAACTGAATGGTGATCAGAATCCAATTTTACTGTGGGCTATATAAGCTTATATACCATTCTAAGAAAGCTGGTAATTTTTTACTACAATGATTGGTTTAAACATCATACAAACACATTTTTTGCAGCATCTCTTCTACTTGACTCAATCTTCTTTCCTATCACCAGGCTTGATTCAATCTTCTTACAATCTTAAAAGCTCTGTTTGTTCCTGCCAAGGCATCCTGGCTATCAAATCTCTTATGCTAGTCAACTCCAAGATACTTTCTGATTTCACCATAGCCACTGAAGAGCCCTTAGGATGCCAGCTACAATGCATAACTGCAGAGCATAGTTAAGCTCTGCTAAGATCAGTTAGGTTACATCAGACCTGAATGATCTTAAATGATTTTAAAGGATATAGCTGCATATACAGCTAGAACAACTGTGCAGTGCCATTACACAGATAAATGACATGCAGAAATAAAGTCAGCCTGTGAGTGGGTGAGCAAGTTTCTCACCTATAATCTTCCTCATCGTTTGCTTTGCGGTAAAAGGGAGCTGTCAGAGACTGCCAATAGGAGATATGGCTCCCAGACTTGCCCTCCCTTATATTTCTGAGCAAAGCCAGCTGATGAAGCAGCATCTGCTGTGACTCAGTCAGAGACCTGCAGAGCAACCTGTCTAACAGACACAGGCAGTAACTTTCAAGTTTGCAGCCCTCAGTACCCTCACTCAGATGGGCATGAGAGGGTTACTTATTAAAGGATTTGTCTGATTCACTTTTAGAATAAGATGGATTTCCCCTAATAGTGTGTATGTCCTTCAGTTGGTTTTACAGGAGCCTCCAGCACTGTATGCATTCGGATGACAGATGAATCACATCCTAGAGGTCTTTACCCACCCTGCAACTAGGCCTCTTAGCAGTCTTCTGTGTGGATGCTAATAAAGCAATCACTTTTGCTTTTATTTTAGGTCAGTTTCACATTTTGGTATTCAGGCACTTGGCAGCTATGTAATGTTTGGTTTGCAAACACTCCCAGGGAAGGGCTCAATCCAAGCCAATTATTTTCTCTACAAAGAGATAAAAACTCAAACATTTTTCTTTACTCTCACATTTTGTAAAACATATTTTTTGTTTTTCTAAAAAGAAAAAAAAACAAAAAACACTCAGGCTCAGTTCCTGTACCCTTCATATGTTTAAAGATCTCCTCTTTCCACACTTCACTCAGGATTATTGTGTGGCCCTGTGCTCGATTCTTATGGAGGTAGAAGTATATTTAACTCTTTAGCAGCCCAGACATTTTAGAAGCTGGGAAAGGCATAGACACAGCCACCCTGTGCATCACAGGCACATGGACTAAGGCTGACCTATTGCTACCTAAGCTGATGTGTCTGAATGATGCACAGCAGCTCTTTGGAG